GACCCCAAAGACCAAGACTGTTGAGAACTGCTGTGCTATGAAATCTAGTAGCAGGTACTCCACAGGAGAGACTGCGCCTCTGGGAACAGATGGAGGAACACCATGTGCACAAAAGTTCTCTCTTCCTTTTAAAAGTCAACGCACACATGGAAACCAGCTATTCTGATCATCGCTGGGCTCAGATCTCCCTCCCAATGCACCAGAGGCAAACCCCGCAGCACGTTCAGTCCAGAGGGTGGGGTGTTAATTGCAAGCAACAGGCCCCTTGGAAGCAGGGGGTCCAGGTAGAGGGAACGGGCTCTGGGGGACGGTGGGAGAAGAACGGCTGGAGATGTCTCGAACCACAGACACACACCCACAAGGTACTCTTTTTTTCCGACCCTCACCAGAGGATATTTTTCCATTGATTCAAAGACTGGAAGAGAGAGGGAAAGATAGAGAGAAACATCAATGTGAGAGAAACATATCGATTGGTTGCCTCCTGCATGCACCTGACCAGGGCCCGGGCCGGGGAGGAGCCTGCAGTGGAGATATGTGCCCTTGGCCAGACTCGAACCCAGGACCCTTCGGTCTGCAGGCCGACACTCTATCCACTGAGCCAAACTGGCTAGGGCCACAGGGACTCTTTATAGGGCTCCCATTCCACTTAGATGCCACCATGGAATAGAACACCAGGAGGAGGAATCTGCCCTTCCTTTGCTAGGGTAGTTCCTATTTTCACTTAAAAAACAGCCATTTTTATCTTCTTCAGAGCACCTCCGTTTGGAGGAAATTTCAGTCGTCCTTTGATTTTTATCTAGCAGTTTTTGAGCAACCACTCCATACTTGAAATTCTGCTGGGGAAGATAAAAAGTGGGTAAGACAAGACCCATTCTCTCCAAAGATTTACCATTTAAGTGGAGACAAAGCAAAACCTTTCAAGAATTAGGAAATCTGTACTCTTGATGGTAAAAGAAAATTCACTTCATACCTTCACTGAGGCTCATCTGATTGGACGAATTGCCTTTTATGTACCAAGCACTGTGGGAGGGCAGTTTGATAGCCATTTTAAACCTGAACTCCACCGTACCCTGTGTTAGGTAGAACTCATGATCTCAGACGTGCAGCCCCGTGGCTTTCAAAACCCGATGTCCTTTTCATTATGCCATTCTCCTGCTGTGTGGTTCACTTATTGAATTTTGTTTCTTTGGGTCTATTTCAATTTCTAGTGAGTTCATGGTTCATGAGGAATAACTAATCTCATTCAGAAATGGCAATGCCACAGGTTGAGTCATAAGATATTCGTTCATGAGACTGGACTTGGGGAAACATTGATTCCCTGCAGCATCGCATGGTAGTGCTCTCTCGGCCAAGTTCAACAGGTCTCTGTATAAGTGTAAATATGGCCTGTGGCCAGGTCTGTGCAGGCTCCGTCACGTGTCCTTTCCCTGCTGTTAGGGCTGGCCAGCCACTAAAACGGCAGTATTTTGTGCAATTGGTTCAGGCTGTTGCTAGGATAAAAATTTATTGAAAATCATGTATATATTTTTAAATCCAGAATTTTAGGCTCTTTATAAGAAATTAGAAGCAAGTAGTATACATTATTTTTGTTGTTGTTGTTCTGCTTGTATTTGAAAGGCATTTCCCCCCACTCACTATAAGCAGCATAATATGACCTTCCTTTAATAGAGTAGTTTCTGTTTTCATTTTAAAAAAAAACACAACACACCCATTTTCACCTTCCTTAGAGCACCTCCATTGTCAGTAGTCCTTTGATTTTTATCAAAAAGTTTTTGAACAACCGCTGCATACTTGAAATTCTGCAAGGGATGATAAGAAAGGAGTAAGACAAGATCCATTCTCCCCAAAGATTTGTCATCCAAGTAGAGACAAAGCAAAACCTTTCAAGAAATGAGGGACTCTGTAATCTTGATGGTAAAAGAAAATTAATACCTTAACTTAGATTCATCCGATTCACCTGAATCAATAAATAAAAAATCCCCTGAGGACTGCCTTGGATCCTTGGTGATATCATCCAACTAGTGCATCTGTTTCTAAAGTTCAGGATGAAAAACCAAAGAATCTCAACATTGAGGCCGAATTCCATTTTGACTTGGAGACACGCTTTTGAGACTTTCATTCCGGGACACAGAATATCAAATCCAGGTTATGAGTGCACGTGTTACACAGTGGGTCCAGAGTCTGAAAGGGTTGGTGTTTGTTTCTATTGATTTTTACAGAGAGAGGGAGAGAGAGAGAAACATCAATGTATGGTCTCCCATATATGCCTTGACCTGGGGCCTAACCAGAAACCTAGGTATGTGCCCTGACCAGGAACCCAACCCGCAGTCTTTCCGTGTGCAGGACGGCACTTCAACCAACTCAGCCAGGGCGAGTGGGTTTGTGCTTTTGAACGCCCTACCTTCTACTTCTGTTAGGTACATGTTTTGAAAAACTTAAAAGTTCATCTTTGTTCATCAGCTGCTACCAGAGGTTCAGTAGGAATCGTCCCCACTGTTTACGTGGGAAACATAAGTGGATTTTTCTGTGAGAAAAAAGAATAGAAAGGAGACATTTTATTATTCTAGGGAACTCTTATGAGAGACAGACAAAATTTCATGGCCTAGGATCAGACCACCTGCATTACAGTCAGGCTGGTGTTCTACCCAATGCAAGGCATGTAACTGTTGGGCCGGGCGTCTGCCCTTGCCCAGCTCGCATGCCCATTTGTCCGCTGGGACAGTAAGGCCTGGGAGACACAGGTTGGGGGTGAGGATGGCGGTGCCTGCGTGAGCTACACACGTGTGAGCGAATGTCAACAGTCTTCAGATCAGGTGGACTTCTGTGCCCCTCAGGTTATTTTATCATTATAGGCAAATCTCACATGCAGGATATTATCGTAGGTAAGGAAAGAGTTTGCAGTGGAAACAGAATCACCCTGGCTGTGTAAGGTTGGAGACTCAGGATTTTATTAGTATTTGTTCCTTAAAATTACTCTGAGGGATAGAGTCTTCCTCTACACAGCCCATATTGGGTTCCAAATATAATCTGATTGGAAGATTAGAACTACAACATCAGCAATACTCCTTGAGGGTTCTTGTCAGTTTGACAGATTTGACAGGCAGACAATTTAAATTTATTAAAACATTTTATTGGGCCCAGTCGGTGTGGCTCAGTGGTTGAGCATCTACTCATGAGCCAAGGGGTCCCTAGCTAGATTCCAGTCGGGGCACATGCCTGGGTTTTGGGCTCCATCCCCAGTAGGGGTTGTGGAGGAGGCAGCTGATCAATGGTTCTCTCTCATCAATATTTCTATCTCTCTATCCCTCTCCCTGCCTCTCTCAAATCAATAAAAACATATTTTTTAAAAATTATATTGGGTGTTTTCAAAAGACAAGGGGTTTTTATACTGTAAGTGGACTGTTTTCACCAGCTTATTAAAATAAATGCATAAAGTCAGTTTTTGTTCAATTCATTAACATGAGAATCAATACTTAAAAATTTCAATCCAGTCACTGATTCCTGTATACCTGGATAGTTAACCTATTTCTCAATCTTTGCATATAATGTGGGATTTTTCCTTTTTAAAGCAAATGAGAAGGCCATACAAAATGGAAAAATTTGCCTGCATTACATGCTAATTTTCATGGCAGTATTTAATACAGTATTGGCAACTTCAGAAAGCTGATGCATTGTGCTAGAGGCCATTAGAAGCATCTGAGCAAATTCAGGGTTTCCTTAGACAAGAAGCTTAGATCTGTTTTTCTTCAAAGAAATTCTATTATTTTTATTGAAGGAATATTTTCAAAGTTAATAGATTTCCGGTTTTTTTCAAAGGCCACTTGAAATTAAACACAGTATGCTTTACCACTGAAATATTTACATAGACTGCCAGCCAGTATCGTATAAGAGATGCCAATTTCCTCTTTGCAATAGTTCCACCTCAACTGCTAATTCTACCTGGGAAAATGGTCTTAATCTGGAAACATTTTGCGCGCTGCCTCTGACCACTGTCCTGGATTCTGACTTCTGGCTATGTTATTTTTATAGCTCACCTTGCCCTTCAGACATAACCTGTGGCCCTGGCGGTTTGTCGGTGGCCTTGACCTCTTTCCTTGAGTGAGAGCGCCTTATCTCTGAAGGGCTAAGACCATCACTGCTTCGGGCCCAGACCAACTCCATGAAGCCCCTGAGCTGACAGCTTCCTACTGGAGAAGGTGTCCTAACCCTGTGAACTGAACTTAGGCAATCAGTTCACCTGTCAATCAAAGAGCTTGCCTACACTGGGAGGTGAATTAATTGGTAAATTAAATGCTAATAACCTGCCAATCTCCAGGGTTCTATAGCAAAAAGGTTTTACTACAGTCTATTTAAATATCACTTCTACAGAACTTGGAGAACAAAACTCACTCTAGAAAATTCTGCACATAAATGATAGAAGATAAGCTATTACATTTAAATAACATGAAAAAATTGTCTGTTTTTCCAACAAAATTGTGTATTTGTCTTAAAAACTTCATTCAGCTCTTCTGTGGCAGTCAGTGACTTTCATTTCTTGAAACTGATGTCATTTCCAAATGCTACTTCCTTTGACCTTTACTGTATTTTTTGAAATGATACCTTGGTAAGACCCATATTCCAGGCTGTTGTGAATTAGGGCTAATCGTGTACCTGTCTTCTTTACCAACTTGGGTTCCTGGCGTTTAGATGACCTACATGACCCAAACGAAGGCCTGCCTTTACTAGGGACCCCACACATGTTTAAGGAGTTGACCTGCCATTAGAAGATTAGTTTAAAAATAGCACTTTCCTGTTCTTGTGGAAGGATCTTTGCTTTGGAATTAACTGACTTGAAATGATCCACAGACGTAGAAGCATGGAACAGACTGAGGAATTTCAAAGGGAAGGCGGGGGTGGGTGGGGAGAAATTAACCAGGGAATTTATAAGCATATGTGCATAGCCCATGGACTCAGACAATACTGTGGTGAAGGATGGGAGGGGCGGGTGCAGGGTGGAAGGGGTCAATGGGGGCAGGGGGGAACAAAACCAAAGGGGACAGCTGTAATACTTTGAACAATAAAAATAATTTTTAAAAAATAATTAAGTCAGCATTAGCTGAGCATCTAATATGACCAGATATTCGCTACTATGGAACCAAAGTTCAAAATGCCAAGATTAAAACCTACTTCAGAATGCAATCTGATTATGATACCCCTTAACTTTGTGTCTGACGTAGCTTAGGTGCTGAAAATTGGAATGTGAAGTGATTAGAGTGAATGGTAAGTGTGTGCATAAAGAAGCTCAGTGAGAATGGGTCAGCGTGGTCTGCTGATGCTGTTGAAGTCAAGGGCCTTGTGGGGGTAGAAGCATCACAGAACAGCTGGTAAATAACCTCTGGGTTGCAAAGGATGAAGTGGCTTTTGGCCTGTGGCCCAGGAGGGGCGAAGGATGTTCCACACACGCGAAACAGCTCGAGCGAAGGCCAGCTGCTAGAGGCAGGTGGTTCAGGGCAGATGACATAGTGAGAATGCCCTGCGATGGGTCGGGGGATGAAGCCTCAGAGGTTGGGGCACAGGGGCAGAAGGGGCAGCAATGACTGATGCCACGCGGCCTGGATTTTATCTGGCAAAGTATAGAAAGCCCTGGAAGGCATTCAGGAAGTAACATGGGCAAAACAGATCTGGGCTGTCAAGCACCTATTTTGTTAGTCAGTAGAGAACAGAATAACTACCTCTCCTCCCA